CTTTCTTTCTTTCTTTCTTTCTTTCTTTCTTTCTTTCTTTCTTTCTTTCTTTCTTTCTTTCTTTCTTTCTTTCTTTCTTTCTTGCCAGTCCTGGGGCTTGAATTCAGGGCAATTCAGGGCATGAGTACTGTCCCTGAGCTTCTTTTGCTCAAGGCTAGCACTCTACCACTTGAACCACAACACTATTTCCAGCTTTTTTCTGTTTATGTGGTACTGAGGAACTAAACCCAGGGCTTCATACATGCTAGACAAGCATTCTACCACTAAGCCACATTCCCAGCTCCTAGATGAATTTCTTTAAAGGAGGTTCTATAGCGTTCCTGCATAGATTCAATGAAAATTTAAAACTTCTAAAATACATTTTTGTATAATAAATACAAGCACAAATGAATATAAAACATTCAAATAGTTGGTAAAATTTAAAAAACAATTTAACTGCAACTTAGATATTTTGTATTTCAGTAAAATAAGGAATAGTCTTCTGATATGGGTGTATAGAATACATGTGTGCAAGAGTAGGATTCCCTACTTTTTTTTTTTTGCCAGTCCTGCAGCTTGAACTCGGGGTCTGGGCACTGTCCCTGATTTTCTCTGTGCTCAAGGCTGGCACTCTACCACTTGACCCATAGTACCACTTGCGGCTTTTTCTGTTTATGTGGTACTGAGGAATTGAACCCAGGGCTTCATGCATGCTAGGCAAGCACTCTTCCACTAAGCCACATTCCCAGCCCTTCCCTACTCTTTTAGTAACTTCCAATTTACTTTGTATGAAAAGCATTAACACAGGAGCTAGGCCCTCCCTCTTTCCCCCTCTGCCCTTACCATACTGGCTTCCTTAAGCTCCTTGAATGTACCTTCCCCTAAGCTCTGCACCTAGGAGACATTCTCCCACCCCCCATACTCCATGAATAACTTGTCTCCTACTCCAAATTCACATTGCCACTTCTTCAGGTCACTTTAGGCTGGGTCAGCATAAATGCTGAAATGCTATCTTAAATTATCCATATACCCTTCAGTTTTCCTGTAACATGTCTATTTGTAATCAAATACTTTGGTGACAGCTATACCTCTCTGCTATTTACAATGCAAATTCAGTGAAGAGAAAATAGTATCTCCTCAGCATTAGCCTATAATCTGGAACAAAATTGGCACCTAATTATACAATCCTGGGGCTTATATAGGTTACATTCTTATCTTAAACCACAAACAATGGTCCAATTTTGGGCATCTATGCAGATGGAACAGGTGTGTGTGTGTGTGTGTGTGTGTGTGTGTGTTTGTGTAAGGTCTTCCTGTAAATTTTGAAACTTCAGTACACCAGGATTAGTTATTCCCTGAGTTCATAGGTCTAATCTTAGTCTAGCCTAAAGATTGCAACCCAGTATCTTGAACAACTTTCCTCCACTTTTTAGGGCTCACATCTTGCCTAACACATACAATGTTCTGGATATACAAACTATTTTTATCTTACAGTAAAGTACAGAGTTGTTGTTTCTTATCTCAGTTCAGATTAGAGAACACATATCACCATCAAGAGATGCATTCCTGTTGTGTGTACTGAGCTGAAGATACAACTTGAGAGTTGGACTCACTGGGAATTATTTCTATTTCGCATAACCGGTCAGCAGAGGGACAAAGGAGAGTTGTCCCAGAGCCAATACAGAAATATTTCGGAGTTTCTAATTTCATGGATTCCCTCCCACATGAAGATTACTCAATAGTGCATTTGAATGGTCCTCTTCAGGATTTTGTGGTTCCCTGTGCCCATCCTCCAACATTTCTCAAGAAGACTGGTCAAAAAAGAAAAAAAAATACACCAAAGAATACTTGGATAAAGCTGTCAGGCTATTCAGATCAAGAAAGTAGAATGTAATCAGTTGGAATTAATAGCCTAGGCCCGGAATCCAGGTTCCAAATCTCACTGCTGAGCCAAATGAGAATGTTAAGCCCTGCCTCGCAAAGTTGAGAGTAAATTAAAAGCGACTTAAGGGCCCTCAGGGATTAAACATGGTAGCGCTCAGCCTTCACCCACAGCCGACTTACATACACAATCGGCTAATGTGTGCAGACTCTCTCCCTCCCCTCCTCCTTCCCCTCGTTTTAATCATTTTTCTCATAGTGCCTAGAAACTGGCTCTACCAGATCGCAGCCACACCCCCCGGGGTGAGGCCAGCACCTCCCCAGCCCGCTGCGGCGGTCGGGCAGCTGCTGGGGGCAGTTCCCTTCACGAAGCCACGCCCACAGACCACCTAATGCCCCGCCCACAGCCTCCAGTCACGTGACCACGCGGCGTACCCCGCCCTCCCTCTCCAATTCACGTGATCACGCCTGGGCGAAAACGCCTGACCCCAGCCCCTGGCCTGCGCGGTGACCGCCGCAGTTTTGGCTTGCAGCGACTCGGCCCTTCGCCCTTCGGTGTCCAGTGCGTCTCTCCGCTGTGTCCCGGGATTTTCCCGGTGACTTGTCCGCCATGCGCCGCCTGCCTCTGCCTCCAGGTGGGCCGCGGTGGGTCGGCCCCAGCCACCTGTCCGCCTGGAGAGCTGCCCTGCGGCTGGTACTGCTGCTCGGCGGCTGCCTGGGGGGACCCGGGGTGTCGGCCGGCTCCCGGAGGCCCAACGTGGTGCTGGTGCTCACCGACGACCAGGACCAAGTGCTCGGCGGCATGGTAACTCTTCTACTTGCGCCCCGCCCCTCCAGCTCCCCGGCTGGCTCCCAGCCTTCCTGCACCCTCACCCCCAGGAGGGGCCGCCCGCACCCGGGGTCGGTTCGGCGTGGCCATTCGAGGCCTTTACGTAGGTCTCTCTGGGCCTCGGGACTGTGGGCTCGGGGTGGATTCGCGTGCCAGCCCGCACGGTGCTCTTCAGTCTGGACCTTACTGCTTTGGAGTTTGCATTCAAGCTCCAAATCGGTGAAGGACCCACCGAGCCCTGGTGGAGCAGGTGCTGCGGGGGGGGGGGGGGACACACCAGCCTGGATTGGTTTTCTTGCAGGGGTGGGGAAACTTTTTTTTTTTTTTTCTGTTAAGGACCATCTATCCTATCACTATGGGCCATAACAAAATTATCAATACAGGCAGATCGGCCACGGGCAGCAAAGAAGCAAGCCTTCAAGGGCCTCTCCCATTATGTACCAAATGATTTCCTGGGCCTTATACTCAGGTCTGCTGTTCCCCACCCCTGCAGGATCAAGTCCAGCCTTCCCTGTAAAGAACTTAGGCCTCCTCTGCATTTCTGTCTGCCTGGGTACAATATCTGCGCCTGCAGTCTATAAAATAAGTGCTGCAATGAGCTGATCTCGGATAGTTTCACAGTGTTTTGCTTCATAGGAATCAAGAAAATTAACCTTATTGAATACTGAAGCATTAATACTGTCATCGTTCATTTTTATGTCTTATGGTTCTTGTCATGAGACTTTATTCTTGCTCAGAGTTCATTTTGCTCTTGTATCTTGAAGTTCTGGAATTTATGACTTGAGCATGTCTACTCCAACCCCTTGATTAAGGAGCCTACCTAAGGTACAGCACTAGCTAACTCTTTTCCTAAGCCAGTGTCAAAAAAGAATCCCAAGCCGAGTGCCCGTGGCTCACACTTGTATTCCTAGCTACTCAGAAGGCTGAGAGCTGAGGATCAAGGTTCAAAGCCAGCCCGGGCAGGAAAGTCCCCATGAGACTTTTTGTTTTTGGTTGTAGGGCTTGAACTCTGGGCCTGGGCACTGTCTCTCAGCTCTTCAGCTCAAGGCAAGCACTCTACCTCGAGCCAAAGCGCCACTTCCGGTTTTCTAGTGGTTAATTGGAGATAAGAGTCTCACTCACTCTCCTGCCCGGGCTAGCTTTGAACACTGATCCTTAGATCTTAGCCTCCTGAGTAGCTGGGATTACAGGCATGAGCCATCAGCGCCAGGCTTCTTGTGAGACTCTTATCTCCAATTAACCACCAGAAAACCGGAAGTGGCACTGTGGCTCAGACAGGGCCCAAACCCAGAGTTGAAGCCCCACAACCAAAAAAAAAAGAAAAGAAAAGGAACCTCAACTGGGCCTCTGTTCCTGGTTGCAGCTTTTCTCACGTGTTTTTCTTTTTATTTATTTATTTTTTTGGGGGGGTCCGGTTGTGGGGCCTGAACTCTGGGCCTGGGCGCTGTCCCTCAGCTCTTCAGCTCAAGGCTAGCGCTCTACCACTTGAGCCACAGCGCCACTTCCGGCTTTTTTCTTTTTGCTTATATGGTGCTGAGGAATCGAACCTAGGGCCTCAGGCTTGCAAGGCAAGCGCTCTACCACTGAGCCACCTTCCCAGCCCCTCTTTTTCTTTTTAAACAAATGCTCAATTATTATCTTATTTCAGTCTCCCCCTACCCCCCTTTTTGTCTTGCTTTCAGCTCAATGCTCCAGCATTTAGGCAGGAGATTCCTAACTTTTCCTGTGGGGTAACACCCTAGCTTAGTGTTCCTCAAACTTGTGTTCCCAACCCATGAATGAGTTGTGAAGTCAGTTTAGTGAGTAGCTACCCACACTTTCGTTTTCCTGTGCAATGGAAAAGAATGGAATGGCCTGTGTGCACAAGTGCACTGTGTGTGGTAATGGTAAGCATGTCTGTATGGCGTATATTTCTGGGTTGTAAAACAAAATGTACTTTGAACCCAGTACACTGAAAGTTATTTCCAGCTGATAATTGCCATGCTGCAATTATCACACTTCTTTCTTTCACATAACTTCTTTAGTTTGTTTTTTTTTTTTTGGTCCAGTCATGGGGCCTGAACTCTGGGCCTGAGCACTGTCCCTCAGCTCTTCAGCTCAAGGCTAGTGCCCTACCACTTGAGCCACAGCACCACTTCCGGCTTTTTTCTTTTTGCTTATGTGGTGCTGAGGAATGGAACCCAGGGCCTCAGGCATGCAAGGCAAGCGCTCTACCACTGAGCCATCTTCCCAGCCCTTTAGTAGTTTCTTCCAGCCATGTTGATACCAAGAGTCTTGATTTAGTTTCCTTCCTAGTTTTTGCTGTGGGTTTTTTTTTTTTTTTTTTACCATTCCAACTGCTGCACTTGTCCTTCTGCTCAAAAAAATCTTTTTCTTTTTAATTCATGTTCTTGAAGAATGTTTTGGCTATGAAGAACAGACCATCTCCCCTGGTGATCAAAGTACTTAATTAAAAGGTTAAGCTTAAATACCTCTGTTGAAAACGAAATTCGTTACTTGACTGTGTTTCTTTTTTATTGACCATAGCTGTTGTCTGTGTATATCTGAAGTCTCTCTTAATTTTAATCCTGTTCGTTTATTTAAACTTGTATCAGGGTTTTTTTTTTTCAAATAGTTATTTGTGCTGGAGAGAGGAGCCAAAATCGAGGAGAAAGAGCAAGTAAAACATAATGCTCCCATTCCTTTAGAGAATTCTGACTTGGTCCATCTTTTTTCAGAATGTCCCTCACTGATTGTCAGACAGGGAAGAGCTGAGACTATCATGGCATTCGAGACCTATTGGAGCCAGGTGGAGTGTGAGGAGTTTGGACTTAGGCTGCAGTTTTCATAGGAATCCTTTGCCATAGATATTCCCACTAAAAGTTAGACCAGGGTTACTATAGTTAGCAAGTGCAAAGCTTGGATTCCTTCTGAGCCAGAGCACCGTGTTTTCCTCCTGTTCCAGAACACTGATAACACTGACCTGTCAAGTCTCATCTCTCCTACATTAGCACACTCACACTGTAGGTTAAGGGACATTCTAGAACGTCAATGGGGGTCACTAGTTCCCCTTGGTTTATACTTGAAACTCTATATAGTATCTTCATTTTTTGTGGAAAGAGATTTCTTTCTTTCTTTCTTTTTTTTTTTTTTTGGGTCCGGTAGTGGGGCCTGAACTCTGGGCCTGGGTGCTGTCCCTCAGCTCTTCAGCTCAAGGCTAGTGCTCTTCCACTTGAGCCACAGCGCCACTTCCGGCTTTTTTCTTTTTGCTTATGTGGTGCTGGGGAATCGAACCCAGGGCCTCAGGCATGCAAGGCAAGCACTCTACCACTGAGCCACCTTCCCAGCCCCATGGAAAGAGATTTCTTTGACCTAAAAATTATCTATTAGTGCCACAGTTGGCAAAATAAGCAGTGATGGACATCCCAAACTAACTCAGGTCAAGAAGTTATATCACTTCTAAAGAGTTTTGATTTACTGTAGAATTTTATGAATTATTTTTATTTTTGGAGTACTGGGTTGGAACTCAGGATGTTGTACTTTCTAGGCTGATGATCTACCACTTAGGGTACACCTTCAGCCTTTCATTTTGCTGGTTATTTTGAAGATGGTGGCTAGTGAACTTTTCTGATTTCAAATTGCAATCCCCAGATCTCAGCCTCCTGAGTAGCTAGGATTACAGGTGTGAGCCACCAGTATCTGTGAAGATTCATTATTAGCATATAGTAGTTGCACAAGGGGGAGGGGGAGGAGGGCAACTTCATTGTGACATTTCCATATATGCATACAGTGTACCCCATTAACCTCACCTCTTCTAATTACTTTCTCTTATACCCCCTGCCCCCATTAAAACAATTCCCACTGGTTTCAATGTTCTGCTTTCATATGGGCATAAAAAGTACTTTGTATCAGCCATCTTTGAAACCATTTTTTAAAATATATTCTTGTTTGTTTGTTTGTTTGTTTTTTGGTCAGTTGTGGGGCCTGAACTCAAGGCCTGGGCACTGTCCCTCAGCTCTTCAGCTCAAGAGCCACAGCACCACTTCCAGCTTTTCCTGCTTATGTGGTGCTGAGGAATCGAGCCCAGGGCCTCATGCATGCCAGGCAAGCACTCTACCACTGAGCCACCTTCCCAGCCCTCTTAATATATTCATCTTTAACATTTCACTGTATCTGTTTCACTTCTTCTGAGGCCCTGCACATTTACTGTTTTCCCCAGAGAACTGTTTTTTAAACTTTTACTTAAATATAATTATGGTACACTGGACACACTATTCCTCACGTAAGTACAGGTTACTCTTTTTACAAATCATTCACTGTAGGAAAAAAAAAGTGAGGTATGGTTATAATCTCAAGGAATTCAGAGAAAGAGCCATCAGGAAATGTTGGAGAAGAATAAATGCATGATGTCATTGCTTTTCATAAAGCAAAGTGATTTCCACTACTAAAAGAAAAGTTAGCCATAGAATATCGGAATTGTCCAAACTATTTCAGAGCAGTTGTACATGAGATCAGGGAAATAAATAACTCCTTAAGGGGTTTTCATGGAAGAGATTTTGCTTGGGATAAGTAAAGTAACATGTTTGCTCATGTGAGAGTTAAATGAACTTCACCTGACCAGCCACTGTCAGTTCCGATTAGCACAGCCATATACATTTTCAGTATGCTCTGTTCCCTTGCTTCAGACTTGCTCAATTAAGCACAGATTATGGGAATCACTTGTACTATCAGTGTAAAGATTATAGTTACTAATATAAACTTCATAGGCTAAAAAGGAAAACTACTGTGCAGGCCCACATCATTGTGTGACTACTGCTTACCTTTCTTCTCTGTTCCTTTCTTTCCCCTTTACCTGTTGGGTTGCCTCTACCACACCGGCTTGCCTTCTGTTCCTCCCAAATGACTTTCCTTCCTCTGGCAGGCTTTGTGCTTGCTGCTCAGCCTGGAAGCATCCTCTTCTGGATGTTTGTATAACCAACCACTCATTGTGGGGCTTTCAGCAGCAAGCCCTCCTCTTCCCTCCAGCGATGTCACAGCATCTTGGTCTGTTCTTGTCACAGCATTCTACTCTCTGAGATGGTTGGTTGATCCCCTGTTAGTTCTTTAGTTAATGAGAGCAGAACCTTGTATGGTTTTGTCCACCATTGGCTAGATCGATGCCTGGCATGCATTAAATGTAAACATAAACACAGTATAGTCTTATAGTAAGCCAAATGTTGTCCAGTGGTTTAGCATACTTAGCCAGACAATTTGATGACTATATCCCTTCCTAGTCAGCTCAGGATTTCTCCCCTCTCCGGATCTTCTCCCCACTTGTGTCCTCAGAACTTAGATTCTTAGCCAACCCTGTGTTTTCTTCTTCCTACTGTTCTTTTCCCAGTAAGGTTTGGAGCAGAGCTGATGACATGGCTTCTGGAGATTAGCATAGATCTTCTACAGCACTACTGATTCTTGGGATCTATTCATGAAATGTTCCAAGCTTGTCTTGAATAAATTAGAATTCTTGTCCCTTTGAATTCATGGGTTCCTTAGGTTTTCTACTATCCATAAATCAGTGAGGAAAAAGTCATTTATACATCGTTGAAAATGAATCTTGTTAGCCAAGCTTTACATTTGGAGTGTATTTGGAATGCCAATCTTTAAGAAATATTATACAAGATATACATACTTAAGATGGTATGCAATATGGTCTTTACAAGGTTATTTCGGAGTCATCATGAACTGCCTAACAATACAACCAAAATCAAATCTTTTCAACATTTTTGCTATCCAGAATGTGAATAAAGATTAGTGTTCTGATATTTGTATTTATGTGTCTACATGTTTTTATCTTCATTCTAGGATGAAGCTAATTGTTCAGTGTATATATCAGAGGCTTAGATAAAAAGCAAGGATATGAAGTAATTTCCAAGTAGCCTTCTCCATGGTAGGGTTCTGTGCACACCTGTGTGTTCCTGCCCCCTTCCAGTTCGGGTACTTGCCACCTCAAAGTGGTAGTGATTTGTCTGGTACAGAAGCATTGAGCTGGGGTTTGCAAATGTGCATCAGGGCTGTACCATGGAGTATGTGAGATTTGAGGCAGTCTCTGAAACTGAGAGCTTTGTCTGACCTTTAAAATCTTAAGAGTGTAAACACACCTTTCATATCACTTCCTGCACCCTGCTTCTAGAGATTATTCATGGAGATATGCAGAGCTATCTACCTTTGGACTAGTGACCAGTAAGAAAAGGGTACCAAAATTTCATTACACTGAAATCAGCATTCATGGAACAGTACTGTCAGCTATAGTTTCCCTTTCTGCTAGCAGTATAAACTCTAACTTGCACCAGTAGGCAGACTTGGCTATTGATTCATGTCAGAGCTATTTAGGAAATAAAATGGCTAATCTATAACAGTCCATGAATTTAGTCTCTTTTAAAATCTCAGAAGAAATGATTTAATGGGTAATTACTTATTTTACAGACACCACTGAAGAAAACTAAGGCCCTCATTGGAGAGATGGGGATGACTTTCTCCAATGCCGTAAGTTTTGATACTGATTCAATCTTACTGAACTTTGTGCTTATATTCTAAGAAGAACTACTGTCTCTGGGACTCCAGTGTAATGTATATGTGTGTTTTTCCCCCCTAAATGTCTTATCTGAAGGAATGACTTTATTACATGGTGTAAATTATTTTGGATTTTCTACCTACAAGATGTACAATTGTTGGAAATTTGGGGGGGGGAGATTTTTATTTTTTTCTGGTCATGGGGCTTGAACTCTGGGCCTGGGCACTGTCCTTTGCTCCTTTGCTCAAGGCTAGCACACTTGAGCCACAGCACCACTTCGAGCTTTTTCTGTGATTAATTGGAGATAAGATTCTCACAGAGTTTCCTGCCCAGGCAGGCTTTGAACTGCAAGCCTTAGAGCTTAGCTTCTTGAGTAGCTAGGATTACAGGTGTGAGCCACCAGCACCCAGCTCCTAAAACAATTTATTTATTTTTAATTGTGAAAATACCTTACAGAGGCGTTACAATTACATGGGCAAGGTAATGAGTACATTTCTTATCCCCCCACACCAGTTTCCTCTGTTCTGTTTCAAATATGGAAACAACTTTGACCATATTCATCCTCTTTCACCCATTAGCACCATCCCCAACAGAGTCTGTTCCTCTTTCTCTGCACCCAGTCCCCCCATCCAACAGCTTTCATTGAGCTTCTTTACGCTGTTTTCATCTATAGTTGCAATGAATTTCAAAATTATTCATCCTCTTATCTTTTTCCCTTTCCCTTCTCCTCCTAAGTAGTCCCTTATATATGTGTTCTATGTTTGTCCATATATATAAAATTATGTATACAGATACATATGTACATGCCTATGACTATATATATATATGTGTATATACATATATATATATATATAATATATATATATGTCTTTTAGGTCTAGCTTCCACATAGAAATGAAAAATAGAGGAAGGATTGCACAACCAGATACAGTAAAAGTGAAACTAAACCTAAGAGGTCAAATAAAACAAAAGGGGAAAGAATTAAAAGTTGCCAATGTAGAAATTATAGAAATTGAACTCTTTTTTTTTGCCAGTGCTGGGCCTGGGTGCTATCCCTGAGCTTCTTTAGCTCAAGGCTAGAGCTCTACCATTTAAGCCACAGCACCACTTCCAGCTTTTTCTGAATTGTTTACTGGAGATAAGTGTCACAGATTTCCTGCCTGGCTGGCTCTGAACTGTGATCCTCAGATCTCAACCTCCTGAGTAGCTAGGATTATAGGCATGAGCCAGCAGCACTTGGCTTGAAGTTGAACTCTTAGTAAAATTAAGAGGGACCAGGCACCTATGGCTTACACCAGTAATCTTAGGTGCTCAAGAGGCTAAGAGGATTGGGGTTTAAGCAGAAAAGTCCAAGAGACTTCATCTCTAGAAAATAACCAGCAAAAAGCTGTGCTAGCTGAAGGGGTAGAGCTCCAGCTGAGCAAGCATGAGGCCCTGAGTTTGAAGCCCAATACCAACAATAAATATTTTTTTTGGGGGGGGTCTGGTCGTGGGGCCTGAACTCTGGGCCTGGGCGCTGTCCCTCAGCTCTTCAGCTCAAGGCTAGTGCTCTACCACTTGAGCCACAGCGCCACTTCTGGCTTTTTTCTTTTTTCTTTTTTTTTTTGCTTATGTGGTGCTGAGGAATCGAACCCAGGGCCTCATGCATGCAAGCAAGCGTTCTACCACTGAGCCAACTTCCTAGCCCTCAATAAATAATTAAAAAAAAAAAATTAATGCCAGGCACTGGTGTTTACACATGTAACCATAGCTACTCAGGAGGCTGAGATTTGAAAATTATGGTTCGAAGCCAGCCTGGGCAGGAAAGTCTATGAGGTTCTTATCTCTAATTACCTCCCCCTCTGCCCCCCCAAAAGAAAAACCCCAAATAAAAAAGGACTGGAAATGTGACTCAGTGGTAGAGTGCTTGCCTAACATGCATGAAGCCCCAGGTTTGATTCCTCAGTACCACATAAACAGAAAAAGCTGCAAGTGGTGCTGTGGCTCAAGCAGTAGAGTGCTAGCCTTGAGCAAAAAAAAGAAGCTCAGAGATAGTGCCTAGGCCCTGAGTTCAAGTACCAGGACTGGAAAAAAAAAAAGCTGGAAGTGGAGGTATAGCTAAATAAATAAGTAAAATTAAGAGGGAAGAGTGAAAATGGGAAGTATTTGTAATTGACTAAATTCTTCCTTTACTCAAATCTCATGTTAACAAGAGGCCAGCAACCCAAGAGGGGAAAAGCACACAAGCAGGCCACTCACATATTAACAAAAAAATTGTGCATGTGGAGACCTTTCATTCTCATCAGTATTTAAAATTACCAATCTGGACTAGGACTGTAGCTCTGTGGTACAACACACATGATATACATCTGCATGTGCAGATGTATAAAGCCCTGATTATAACCTCTAGCGTGCAGACACACACACACACACACACACACACACACACACACCACACACACACACACACACACACACACACACACACACAAAACAAACTAAATCCAACTTGAAAGGCCAGCAAGTGAGATTCATGATATTATATATATGGGGCTTTTTTTTTTGGTCAGTTATGGGGCTTGAACTCAGGCCTGGTGCTGTCCCTGAGCCTCTTTGTGCTCAAGGGTAGCACTCTACAGCCTACTTTTGGTCTTTGAGTGGTTAATTGGAGTCTCACCGGGACTTTTCTGCCCAAGCTTTCTTCGAACCATGACCCTCAGATCTCAGCTTCCTGAGTAGCTAGGACTACAGGTGTGAGCCACCAGCACCCAGCTCATGCTATATACTTATATTACTTGAAAGAGACGATATGTAAAGGTAGCGTGAATGTGTACTTGAATGTCATTCCTTCCCTGTATTAACCTATGCAAAGAGGCTTGGTGATGTGGACAGATTATTACTGGTAGAGTGGAGAAAGTTTGTTGAGAGTAGATAAGTAATATTAACTAGAGCTGTAGATCAGCATAACCTCCACTTCTCAGTTATGTTAAGACTCAAGGCATTCTTCATCTTTGGTTAAACCTTGCTCCCACATGCTTGTTCCTTGAATAAAGTGTTGTTTTTATTTTGTTTTTTAGATGAGGTTAGACTTACTATTACTCCCTTCAAAAAGAAACCAATTGAGGGGCTGGGAAGGTAGCTCAGTAGTAGAGTGCTTGCCTTGCATGCATGAGGCCCTGGATTCGATTCCTCAGCACCACATAAGCAGAAAGGAAAAAGCCGGAAGTAGCGCTGTGGCTCAAGTGGTAGAGCGTTAGTCTTGAACTGAAGAGCTGAGGGACAGCGCCCAGGCCCAGAGTTCAGGCCCCACAACCGGACCCCCCCCCCAAAAAAAAGAAACCAATTGAAAAAGAAACAATCACGTGGTTAATCTGTTTTTGTTTCTCCTCTGTTCTAAAGTATGTCATATGTGAAGCCAACATATTCTAGAAGAAACTTAAGACCATGAGCTAGCTTAGAGTGTTGAGCAACTTCCTTTGTCCTCTTTAGAAATGATGAGACATCCATTTTTCTTGTATAACTCTTTTTTGTTGCTTCTGTTCCCCTGTAGTATGTGCCAAGTGCTCTTTGCTGCCCCAGCAGAGCCAGTATCCTGACAGGGAAGTATCCACACAATCACCATGTTGTCAACAACACTTTGGAGGGAAACTGCAGTAGTATTTCTTGGCAGAAGATCCAAGAGCCAACTACGTTCCCAGCAATTCTCAAATCAATGTGTGGTTATCAAACCTTCTTTGCAGGAAAATATTTAAATGAGGTATGTTGAGTGATCTGCTCCTTGTGTGAACCATTGTAATTCCTGTTAAGTACTTTTTTATTACTATCACTCACGGTGCAAGATATTTTATATATAAATATATATATATAATTTTTTTCTTCTAATTTTCCTATTAAGTGTGTGATCCTACTTACTGATTTGGATGCTTGTTATTCTTCCTAGTCCCAGCAGCACTTATTTTAAAATTGTTCTAAGACTACTATAATCTGCTACATCTTCCCCTTTTTCTCAAGAATGCTATTTGTCATGTGTCATGCTGTCAGAGTATTTTTATCAGGATCCAAAAGAGGAATTTTTTTCCTCTTAGACTTTTTCCTCAGATTTCTTAGAATTATTTGTGTACTATTAACAGCTTCATGTTTAATTCATTTTCTAAACAATGATAATAGACATTGGAGAGATTGTGATAAAGGAAAGAGCCCAGAGCCTGGGACAGCAGGTTACTGAGTGGTTGATGTGTTAGCCTTCTAGGCCTGGCTATAGTGGTAACTCATTATGACCTTCCCACGCAATGTTTCATGGTCCGAAGTCCACCAAATAGGCCTTGACTTTTAGTCAGTGTATATTTGGGTCTGTTGGGAGTTAACTCTTAAAGTTAGGCTGGGAGTGCAGGATGAAGAAGTACATTTTCTTTTTAAAATTGTTATTACAAAGGTGATTTATAGAGGGGTTACCATTTCATAAAGATGTACATTTACTTACGCACTTTACCTGTGATTGCTAGAGGTCTTAATATCTGACCTGAATTTTCTATTACTTTTTCCCTTCCCCTTCCCCCAATAATTGATGGGATCTGTTTCCTTCTGGGTTTGAAGGAATTGATGAGTCAGTTTGAAAGAATCATACAAAGTAGGAAGTATGGCTCATAAAGGGAACTCAGGCTGCTTTGCACATTCAAGGTCATCTGATATGTATATGGAAGTAGGAGAGATCTTTTAGAGTGCAGAGATACAGTTCTCAGGGGTTAAATTCTGGCTTAGGTGAGCAGCGTGGCACTAGGTTGAGATAAAGTGGGGCCATTCTGTGGTCTGTTCACTTACTCATCAGATAAGTGCAGCTTACAGTATATTTCATTAGAACAAGTAAAGTAATAGTCTGATAACTCATAGTGGAATTCTTTCTTTTTTTATTGTGAAAATACTGTACAGAGGGGTTACAATTACACGGGCAAGATCATAGTGGAATTCTTTTGGCAGTTACTAGCCACAAGGTCAGCTGGCATATTCAGTTGCTGTAATGGGCCAGAGAGTAAATGTAGACTTTGCGGGCCATGCAGATCCATTGCAGCTATGCACCATTGTCACTTTAACAGGAGAGCAGCCATAGTTGCTGTGTGAGTGAGTGAACGTGGCTGTATTCAAATAAATCTTTATCACCACTGAAATTGGAATTTTGTGTAACTGTCATATTTCATGAAGTATTTCTCTTGATCTTGGTCATTTAAACCCTTATCATGCAACCTTTCCAAAACAATTGGCAAGAGTTAGCCTACTGGCCATTGTTTACCAACTCCTGCTTAAGTAAATAAAGTCCCTTGAGTAACAAGCTCTTTACTTCTGACTCGTTTATATACATTGAGCATCTGTTATGTTTCAGATGTTAACCTGAAGGTAAGACCAAGTTTCTGTTTCTTTCTGTTCCAGTCAGGCCTAAGGAGTTTAATATCCTGCTTGTCTGTCTTTTCAGTATGGGGCTCCAGATGCAGGCGGACTAGAACACGTTCCTCTGGGCTGGAGTTACTGGTATGCTTTGGTGAGTGACGCTTGAAGTTGTTGATGATTAGACACAGCCCAACAGATGCCCAATACGTTTACTGTCTAATTTTGCTCCATTACAGACAAAACCATTGTTTTTGTTTTTGCTGTCTGTTGAGTTGCTCCTTTCTGAGAAATTCTTCCAGCATTATAGTGGGATTAACATTGTACTTGACTGTTCTCCCCATCCATTTTTCTTTTTTTGTGTGCTGGGAATCATCTTGAGGGTCTTGTCCATGCTTGGCAAACATACCATTGAGCTATATCCCTAGTTCTTTATTTTTGTTTGTTTTTTTGTTTTTTTTCTTATAGTGTAGGCTAGCCTTGAACTTACTATATAGCCCAGGCTGGCCTTGAACTCTTATCTTCCTTTCTCAGTCTGATAAGTGCTGGGATTACAGGAATGTACCATCATGCTTACTCAGTAGTGGCATTTAAACTAAGGACAAATTTTTGAAACTTTGCTAGCATTAAAAACCCTTGTCGCTGGGTGCCAGTAGCTCATGTCTGTAATCCTAGCTACTCAAGAGGCTGAGATATGAGGATTGTGGTTCAAAGCCAGTCTGGGCAGGAAATTCCACGAGACTCTTATCTATAATGAAAACCAGAAGTGGAGCTGTGGGTCAAATGGTAGAGCATTTGCCTTGAGCTGAAGAGCTCAGTGATAGCTCCCAGGCCCAGAATTCAAGCTCCATGACCAACAGAAAAAAAAAAAAAAAAACCCTTGTCAGAAAATCCTATTCAGCATTCACTTGAGTAGTTGCTTTATGTTTTTTTTTAAATAATGTATCACTATTTCAATACAATATAGTTTAGGCCAGTATAAACTGTACTGTATGCTGACCACATAACAAACTTTATTTTCCTCTTTTAAATAGGAAAAGAATTCTAAATACTATAATTACACCCTCTCTATCAATGGGAAGGCCCGTAAGCATGGAGAAAACTATAGTGTGGATTACCTGACAGATGTTCTGGTGAGTGGCTAGAGCTCTGGCCTTGCAGGTCAGCCTCACGTTTGACTGAAGGCTCTGTCTAGGGAACCTCTAGTCTTACTCATTTGTGTCGGTAATATAAATGCATAAAGACTTGGCTTAACTGCCGAGAAATATTTTCAGCCAATAAAAACTATAAAGAATGTTATAGAGGTGCTTCAAGATGGCAGCTCCATGAGTCTGTGTGGGTAGAAGCCCAGGAATATGTGAGTTCTTCGGGCTGTGTGTGTGCGCACATGTATAAATGACTGAAGTCTAGTGAATTTGAGAATTTTCTGCTTATAATGGAAGCCTTCCATAGACCATTTATTCACCAAATAATTCAGCATGTGTAGGATAGCAGGTGTTCAGGAGTAAGTCAACAGAGGTAGCTCTCTGACAGGAGACTTCTCACATGCTTCATATACATAGGCATATCACATATACACATTGATTTCTTGCTTCATTAGATGCTGAGAAGCTGGAGACTTAGAAGGGTAAGAGGGCTACTTAGTAAGATTTAGGCAGAAATGTAAAGGTGAGTGGTCAGCATGGATCTGGGGGTAAGGTGAGTAGAATCTTATGCAGAGGAAAGAGTAAGTGTAGGGTCTTGATTGTGCAGGAATGTGCCTGGCCTAATGGACAAACTACAAGGAAGCTGTAGGGCTGGAGAACATTTGGAGAGTGGGAAGGTGACAGGACATAGATACCCTCTGTTGGGTATCTATTGTGTTAAGGCTGGGAATAAATGCAGGTATAAATTAACTAGGGCAGTGAAATACAGCATGTATGTGGGATGCTTTCATTTTTATAGTGCAAAAGGAAAAATATTAAGTCCATGTATATTCAAGGCCTGGCATGATGTACTTGAGGTTTTTATTTCTTTTCCTATTTCTTTCCTTTTTGGTGCTGGGAATTGAACTCAGGGCTCTGGTCTGCTAAGCATATTTACTAGCACTGAGCTACAACCCCAGTCCCAGTATCTCGGCTAATGTTCATTTAGCTTAGCTACTTTAGCTGGTATAATTGGTGACATCTATTTTCTGCATATTTTTGTAAGATTTAGATTACTTACTCCACCTTTTCCATGTCTTAGAATTAGGTTAAATATTTTTCCTTTTTTGGGGGGGGAAGAGGAGGGGGATGAGGGTGCTAGACCTGGAGCTTGAATTTGGGGCCTAGGAGCTGTCTCTGAGGTTTTGTTTTTGTTTTTTGCTCAAGCCAAGTGCTCTATCACTTGAGCCACAGCTCCACTTCTAGCTTTTTGGGTGGTTGACTGGAGGTAAGAGTCTCATGGACTTCTTTGCCCCAGCTGGCTCTGAACCTCCTCAGATCTCAGCCTCCTGAGTAGCTTAGATTACAGTTATGAGCCACAAGCACTCAGCTTTTTTTACATTTTTTAAACCATTCTTTAGGGCATAAAATGTGTATACTCTAAGCTTCATTAATGTAAGTTAATACTAAAATGGCCAAATCACTATTTCTTTTTGTTAGCATGAAAAACAATATCTAGATTATGTAAGTCAAAGTCTCAATTGCTCTCTTATGATAGTATGTGCTAAGCATCACCTAAAACCAAGTTATTCATTCCAACAACATGCTTGCACATGAAATAAGAGCACATGCTGGGATTAGCAGCTAATGTGATCTCTGCCCACCAGAAGTCATTTATCTATTAATGACTCAATTTTTGGGTCAAATGAGATGACCAGTCTTTGTATGTGCCAGGCTAATGTCTCATTGGACTTCCTGGACTACAAGTCTAACTCTGAGCCATTCTTCATGATGATCTCCACTCCAGCACCTCATTCACCTTGGACAGCAGCACCTCAGTACCAGAAGACTTTCCAGAATGTCTTTGCCCCAAGAAACAAGAACTTCAACATCCATGGAACGGTAAGCTACCACAATGTTTTACTGAGGGTGTACTCAGGATCCTTAACCGTATCATACACTGGTCAGGAAGCTTTCAAGCATATTAATGGTTTTTCTCCTATACCCTGTGCCCTAAGGGAAAGGCTTCCTGAGAAAGTAGCATTTTTAAAAATCAGTATATATTATATAGTGAAATTTCATATGATTGTTTCATGAGTACATGTATTGTGTTTGATCTAATTCACTCTCTCTGTTATTCTTTGTTTATACCTCAGGGCCTCACCCTTCCTATACTGAGACTCTACCACTTGAGATGTTTATCCAGCTTTATTTTATCTGTTTTTTTTCTCTTGTTTTGTTTTGTTGTCGGTCATGGAGCTTAAACTCAGAGCCTGGACACTGTCTCTGAGATGTTTTGCTTAAGGCTAGTGCTCTACCCTCCTGAGTAGCTAGGATTACAGTACCCAGCTCTGTTTTTTGTTTTTTAAGATAGGATCTTGGGAATTTTCTGCCTGGGCTGACCTTAAACCACAATCCTTATACTTTTGGCCTCACAATCACCTTTATTATGGGTGTGAGTACCCAGCCTTCCCCACTTTTTAATACAGTATTCTATTTTCATATGTGCATGTAAAGGATAGTTGGAAGACAGCTATGCTCACCATTATAACACCAACATGCTCAATGAAGTATAGTTGGTTTTCTTCAAAGTTCCTTTTTTTTTCTCACATTTTATTTGGTGGTACTGGGATTTGAATTCAGGGCATTGCTCTTGCTAGGCAAGCACTCTGCCACTGAGCTATGCCTCCAGCCCTCTTTCAAGGTCTCTTAGAGTAATATAGCACCTTTCCTAATACAACAGATAGAGCATAAACTTGCTTCAAAGGGACAGATAAGTATCTTGCCAGATACCTAGTGAGCAGCTTGAAAGTCCTGAATCCAGCATTGGCTCTTGGGCTCGGGCTCCCTCCAGTAGAAACTGAGACCTGTCCCTGAAAGGATCCACAGCAGCCTTGCTCAGTGACTTTCACTGGCCCAAGGCATAGGAAGAACTGGGTACAATGTAGGAAGCTGAGTGGAAAAATGAGCAAGCACAGGGGACACAAAGGCTACAACAACCCGGATGTTTGCCTTGTGTGCCAGTCAGCATTCCTCTCTTAAGTTTTAGCTATTAACTTACTCCATGGCCCACTGTTTTCCCACCCTAAGTACTGACCACCCTAGATACTTGGAAAAAAATCTTACGATAGCAGTTTTTTTAACCGCTAAGCGCCACTCTAGATAGTTCTTATTTAAATTAAAAGCCATGACTTTTCATAACACTGTAGTCCAGAATCTCCCAAACCATGTTTCTCAAAGTTATACTTTGAGAAGGTTATACTTCCTTTCATATAGGGTATAGTCCATTTCCTGGTTCAGTGCCAGTGTCTATCACCCAGAAATCATACTTGTCAGAAGGAATTATATTGTAGAATGAGTTATAAAGTCAAACCCAGTGTTACTTTACTCAAGGAGATGTGTAAGAAGTTTAACTTCTGTTTTCTTGTCCTCCATGTGACCAAGGTCAGGAGTCAAGTATGTAGAAACCTCTAGCATGCTATCTGCCATGCTTTAAGCATGGGCTTGTTACAGATGTTTTTGAAGCTGATAGAACAGGGTTTTAAACTAGAAGGCAGTTTCCAATCTGGGTTCCAAAAGAAGTTAATAGAAGTTACTATGATCAATAAGTTCATAGACTTTAGGTTAAATAAATCACTGCACTATAGAACTTATAAAAGTAGGGGCTGGGACGGTGGCTCAGTGGTAGAGTGCTTGCCTTGCATGCATGAGGCCCTGGGTTCAATTCCTCAGCACCAGATAAGCAGAAAAAGCTGGAAGTGGCACTGTGGCTCAAGTGGTAGAGTGCTAACCTTGAGCTGAAGAGCTCAGGGACAGTGCCCAGGCCCAGAGTTCAAGCCCCACAACCGACAAAAAAAAAGGACTTCTAAAAGTATGTGTGGTCTGATGTGAATTTCTACTAAGAGGATATTTTATATAGCATTTCTCAAACATTAACTAAACAACACTAAAAAGTACAGTTTGGGAAAAAAATAGCTAGGTTTTATGAATAGACAAGGAAAAATTAAAGGTATAGGGGAGAGTTTTTTTTTGTTGTGGCTGTTAAAAATGTGACTTTTATCCACATAGGAAGAACCCTCAGGTTTGGACTTGAAGTCTTAGAAACTTGCTGTGGTAGCTAGTGGTTTCCCACTGACATTTACTAAAACCTCTATTAACACTATAGCAAAAAGCATTTTCCAGTTCAGGAGATGGCTAGAAGCTGATAGGAATTGCTTTCTTAGGTCCTAGAAGGCCTGAAACTGCTTGAAGGGGTTCTACTTCCATTTTGCTAAATCAGGAATTCTTTTTTCTATCTACTCCAGTTATTGTAGTAGTTTATGTGATTATGGTGACTTGGTGTTAACATTTTTTTGTCTTTCTGACTTTTAGAACAAGCACTGGTTAATTAGACAAGCCAAGACTCCAATGACTAATTCTTCAATACAGTTTTTAGATAATGCCTTTAGAAAAAGGTAAGAGCTGCTGCTGTTTCCCAGTCTGGGTGGTTTTAAGGACAGGAGACTGTACAAGGTTTTCTCTGAAACAAACACAGGGGCAAGTTAGCAGGAGAGATGCTTTGTTGGGCAATGACTGTCTCAGAAACAGGTATACCTTTACCTTCTGGTGTGTGAGGGGACCTTGGGACCCTAGGAATGCAAAAGAAAATCATCTGTTTTTAGTTAGCAATTGTTAAAAATATGTATTGGGAGATGGGAAGGGAAAACAAAAAAATGCTTGATAAGAAATGTACTCAGGGGGCTGGGAAGGTGGTTCAGTGGTAGAGCGCTTGCCTTGCATGCATGAGGCCCTGGGTTCGATTCCTCAGCACCACATAAGCAAAAAAAAAAAAAAGCTGGAAGTGGCGCTGTGGCTCAAGTGGTAGAGCGCTAGCCTTGAGCTGAAGAGCTGAGGGACAGCGCCCAGGCCCAGAGTTCAGGCCCCACAACTGGACCTCCCCCCAAAAAAATGTACTGATTACCTTGCCCATGTAATTGTAACCCCTCTGTATGGTATTATCACAATAAAAATTTTAAAAAAATGTATTACAAACTTCAACCATTTGGTTGAATTTTGTTCCTCTGTTTTGTTTTGTTTTTTTTTTTTTTAAAGATTACTTACTGAGAAATCAGCTCAGATTTCAAGCAAAATATTTAACTTTGTATTTGGAATTTTCAAGAAATGCTAAGTAGATTTTTAAAAAATCATGACTTCCTTTTAGAATGAATTTAGCATACACCAGAAGTCAGCAAACTTTTCTGTAAGACCAGATAAAAAGATAGTAAGTATTGTAAGATTTCAGCTCATGCATTCTGTCACAATTGCTCAGCTTATTGATATAGTAGGAAAGCAATCCTAGGCAATATGTAAATGACACATTGGAACTTCATAAAACACAGGGCAAGGACAACTCTGGCTGGTGGCCTTGGTGTGCCCAGGCTTGCTTACACTGTTAAACACATTTGAATCAATCTGGAGTAATCTGCACCACAGTGGCAGCCTTCATTACCAGTGGCTGTAAAAAAAAGATTTTTTTTTTTAGCCAGTCCTAGGCCTTGAACTCAGGGCCTGGGCACTGTCTCTCTTTATGTTCAAGACTCTACCACATGAGCCACAGAGTTATTTTGGGATTTTTCTGAGTAGGTTATTGGAGAAAAGAGTCTCACAGACTTTACTTCCCAGGCTGGCTTCAAACTGTGATCCTCAGATTCTCAGTCTCCTGAGTAGCTAGGGTTACAGGCATTAGTCAGCAGAGCCTGGCTGTAAATCTTAACTATAAATCTAACAGAATAAGCTAATTAATGTTTTGGAATTTTCTAATCTGTCTTACAGCACAGTGACAGTCTGGGGAACCAACATTTGAGATTTAAGTATTTGGTGTGTTGTTTTGTCTTGTGATCTGTTGTTATTTTGTGGAGGCAAGCTTCTTGTTTTGGCCTGTTTGTTAAGATAGTGATTCTGCAGCCATTGGTGCAATCTCCTTCTATCTGTGTTCATATCCAGATGGCAAACTCTGCTCTCTGTTGATGACCTCGTGGAGAAACTGATCAAAAGACTGGAGTTCACTGGGGACCTTGGCAACACATACATCTTTTATACCTCAGACAATGGCTATCACACAGGTGAGAGGTGTGGTCAGGTGTGCATGTCATTTTTGACAACCTGAATGATAGCCTTAGCAGAAGTTCAAGTGCTTGTGCAGCTGTAGACTTGCCAGACAGAGGGTCTTTCCCTCAAGACCCCTGAGCTTAGAGGGTACATCTTTCCCACAAGGAGAAACCAGGTTTCCTACTTTGCTGACTGGAATGCATGTTCCTTGGCATCTCAGAGAAGAGAATGAGTCTGAGTGGTAGGGAGGTGCTGGAGACACCCTTCATGCAAGACAACGATGTTGAATTCATTTTACGGATAAGTGGAACTTAGAGAACAAAGGTAGTATATTCTGGACAGGAAAGCAAAAAGGTTATCTTGAGAGAAAACACTTGGAATTGTTTTTTACACATTCTTATGTTTTGGAAATTGCATGATGAATCAGCTGAATGATCTTCACTTTAGTCCTTTCTACTTGGATGTTCTGTGGCTTAACACAAGTGTTTTTTTTCTTTCCTTTATCAGTTGCCTCTTGAATTAACCCCAGGCTTGCTTGCATAAAAGTAGAGTGACTCAGTAGTTAATGTCTTTATCATGATTTTTGTTTTATTTTTTGTTGGTTGTGGGGCTTGAACTCTGGGTTTGGGCGCTGTTCCTCAGCTCTTCAGCTCAAGGCAAGCACTCTACCACTGGAGCCACAGCACCACTTCCGGTTTTCTGGTGGTTTATTGGCGATAAGAGTCTCCTGGGCTTTCCTGCCCAGGCTGGCTTTGAACCACGATCCTCAGATCTCAGCCTCCTGAGTAGCTAGGATTATAGGTGTGAGCCACCAGCGCCCAGCTTATCATGAATATTTTGAAACACTCAGAAGTTAGTATAGTTAGTATACTCAGAAGTTAGTATAGCTGGGTATGGTGGCACATATCTGTAGTCATCCCAGGTGGCTGATGCAGGGGTGCTTGAGCTTAGGAGTTCCAGGCCAGCAAGTGCAACGTAGCCAGAACTATTTTTTAAAACAAAACTTTAGAATAACCGCTGGTAAAATAACTGTCCTTATCCTGTTGAGATTTTCAGTTGTGTGAGGCCAGTCTTGAATCCTTCCTGACTTCCCTGTGTTTTCCTGTTTGCTAAGTTTTGAAGGAATTCCTCCATACTATAGGATTCCATATGTCAGCACCCACACACATCTGATGTCTTCCGTATCATGATCATGATGTCTTCCGTCACATATCATCTTTGTTTTTCTGGGTCTTGTTTCACTTGAAACCGATATTCTGGGAAAAACTAATCTTTTGTCCTTAGAATGTCTCACATTCTGTATTTGGCTAATTGCCATCTCATGAGGCCTTTACTTACTCACTTCTACTTGTCCCTTCCTGTGGATTGGTAGTGAGACTAGAACTGGTAGGAATTATTATTTTCAGGCAAGAATGTACTTACTACTAGGAAGTACATGGTGTCTGGCTGTCCTAATTTGTGGATACCAATGTGGAGTTTTCTTTAGTTTTGCTGGTTTTTTCAAGACAGGGTTTTACAATGTAGCTCAGACTGGCCTCAAATTATTGATCCTCTTGTCTTTGCCTCCTGGGGACAGGGTTTATGGGTGTGTGCCCTCATGTCCAGCCTGCCAGTCTGAAATGGAAGGATCAGGCAGTTTCAGCCTGAGGCCTTTCTGTGAACCTTTCTAGCACTGAAATTCCCCTTGATGATTTTTTTGCTTAAATTCATTATTCCTTCCAGCCAAAATGGCAAACAGTCACAATTCTGTCCTTCTATATGTTATATATGAATTTCTCAAAGCCCTTCCTCTCATCAGTTATTTGTTTGTCTTCAGTTGAAGTTCACTCTGGAAAGACAGGATAAATATTTGCATCTTTATTTGATGGTGTTTAGAGTAACGTGTCCAACTGATCATGTTGAATATCATGCATACATATTTACATATTTTGATTTATTCCTTTCCATTCATTAATTTGCTCATTTTGTTCTGCAAAATAGGAGGTCCCTTCTAGTTACTTATCTGAAGAAGGTGGGTGTTATTACCTTTCCTGACTTAGTACCTAAGAGACCTGGACAAACTGAAGTTTCCTGGTAAAGCTTGGACATTTTTAGGTTTTGCTGTCAATTAAATGAATGGAACAGAGCATGCCCTTCACACCTGTTTGGCTTTATCTCTACTTTGTGTATTTGTTTTCAGGGCAGTTTTCTTTGCCAATTGACAAAAGGCAACTGTATGAATTTGATATCAAAGTTCCACTATTGGTTCGAGGGCCTGGGATCAAACCAAATCAGACAAGCAAGGTAAGTGCCTGACTGTGAAGCTGGTGCTGTGTACAAGTGGGTACTTGTCTGAGAAAAGAAGGCTGTTCCTTCTGTGAGGATGAAGTCCAGTCAGTATGAGATTATATGTGTTTCTAAGCCTTTTTCCACCAGCCTCTCTGAGAGAACCTATTATCTGTGCCATCGTATATGTGAGAGAAGGTGTGTTTGTACCATCATACATATTATGTCACATCAGCTTGTGTAGCTTTTTTTTTTTGGTCAGCCGTGGGGGCTTGACCTCTGGTCCTGGGCGCTGTCCCTCAGCTCTTCAGCTCAAGGCTAGCACTCTACCACTTGAGCCACAGCGCCACTTCCGGTTTTCTGGTGGTTTATTGGAGATAAGAGTTTCACGGCCGGGCCCTGGTGGCTCAGCCCGGCGCTGGTGGCTCACGCCTATAATCCTAGCTACTCAGGAGGCTGAGATCTGAGGATGACAGTTCAAAGCCAGCCCAGGCAGGAAAACCCGTGAGACTCCTATCTCCAATAAACCACCAGAAAACCGGAAGTGGCGCTGTGGCTCAAGTGGTAGAGCGCTAGCCTTGAGCTGAAGAGCTGAGGGACAGCGCCCAGGCCCCGAGTTCAGGCCCCACTACTGACAAAAAAAAAAACCCAAAAAACGAAAAAACAAGAATGTCAGGGGATCGTAATCATCGTGTGCTGGCAGCAGTTTTCTCAGGGCCAGTTGCTGTGGGTGACACGGGGCTGCGTGTTGCCTTTAAAGAGCTAAGCTTTCAGCAGCCTGTCAGCCTGAGCAGCACTCCTTTGACTCCTGGGCATGTCTCTGTGTCTGCTCTTTAGAAGCAGGTAGTTCGTATGGATGCCAGAGATTGCCTGACATTTTCTGCTCTGGCTAGACATTAATCTAGCTCTGGGTTTGGTGGTGGTGGTTATTCAAAAAGAGTTCTAGGAATTTGGACCCAAATTAAGCTTGCTCTCCTGTGTCATTGAAGTAGGTTGTTACAGCTCAATTCTCAGTGTAACTGGGTGTAACTAATTCAGTCATTACAAATATTGGCATTCTTCCACAGCTACCAAAGCTACATAAAACCCATTGGTTTCATGTTCCGGGTCTCTCAGGGACTTTGATCTGATCAGAATGTGTGTGTACTTGAATCCTAACAGGAGAATTACATGAGTCTCCCATCAGCCAGACATAGTGGCACATCTCTATAATCCCAGCCTATGGGAGACTAAGGCAAGAGGACAGTAAGAGGCCAGCATGGGCTACACTGAGAGACTTTGTCTCAAAAACAAAACAAAAAAAGCCTCCCATCACACAGCTGCTGGTCCTTGAGGCAGTTTTTGTTGTGTGGCAGTCATTGTTTTATATCTCCGGGGACTTTTGTCATTTTGGTATTTACCCTTTTTCTTATAAAACTGCGTTAGACACAGCAGTAGTACCTGTGTAATTGGCTTCACTCCAGTCAAGTTATAGGCTCTCTAGAGACTCTCGTTTCCTGTGGCTATCTCCACCCTGTTCATACGCAGACTTGATGGCTGTTCCTGGCTGCTCACTTTGCCCGGGGACTTGGTTGGAACTGGAGACCTAGCTCTGGAGAGTTTCTTTCTTAGTGACCTGTGGACTTGCCTGTCCTTGAACTATCTCCACTGAATGGCAATTTCTGACAGCTGGAGAGATGTACAGATTGATTCAGAGCCAGGATATATATCACTTCTCCTCTGAGAGCTATCCTGGCCATCAAGAAACCTGACCCCTGCCCAACAATGCTCTGAAGATGCCCCCTTACCTTTCATAGCTAGGCTTTTGATTTTGTGTTTAAATTAAAAGTGACAGGGTTAGTTGGCTTGCTTGCTTGCTTTCCTTTTTCTTCCGTCCCTCCTTCTTTCTTTCTCTTTCCCTCCCTCCCTTCTTCCCTCCCTCCCTATCTCTTGTCTTTCTTTCTTTCTTTCTTTCCTTCCTTCCTTCTTTTCTTTCTTTCCTTCCTTCTCTCCTTCCTTCCCTCTTTCCTTCCTTTCTTCCTTCCTTCCTTCCTTTCTCTTTCTTTCTTTCCTTTCTTTCTTTTTTTCCTTTCTTTCTTTCCTTTCTTTCTTTCTTTCTCTCTCTCTCTCTTTCTTTCTTCCTTTCTTATCTCTTTTTTTTAATTTTATTTTATTTTATTTGTGAACATACTGTACAGAGGGGTTACAATTGCATGGGCAGGATAATGCGTACATTTCTTACCAAGCATTGCAGCCTCCTCCTTTGTTTACCCTTCCCATCCCTTCCCAGCCTCCCCCCTCCCCCCCTCCCAACCCTTCTCCTTCCCCCCACCCCCCCACCCCCCCTTCCCTCCCCCTTTCTTATCTCTTTAGCTTCTCCTAGAGTATTCCAACTTTTCTCAACAATTGCAAGTAGTTACTTCTTCTCAGCCAAAGATGGTCTAGTTACAAGCTGTTAACTTTGTTATACTTACTCCTTGTGTTGGTGGTGGTGGTTGTAGGGCTTGAACTCTGGGGCCTGGTTGCTGTCCCTGAGCTCAAGGCTAGACCTCTTGCACTTTGAGCCACAGTGCTACTTCCTGTTTTCTAGTGGTTAATTGGAGATAAGAGTCTCAGCAACTTTTTCTGCCCAGGCTGGCTTTGAACCAAAATCCTCAGATCTCAGCCTCCTGAGTAGCTAGGATTATAGGCTCTTTGTTTCATGTCTTACTTACAAAATGAAGTGTTGCTTCCCAGGATTGCTGAAAGGAATATATAAGAATAACCCTAAAATATATGGAAGACTAGGAGCTCAGTAAACGTTAACTCCTGCATGTGCTCACCCCACCCACTCGTTTCACCATTCTCAGGCTTTTCTACCTGGTGACCAGGTGGCTTCAAAACTTAGCCAGAAAAGTTTTACTCAGTCCTCTGTCCACTGCAGTGGCCTCCAGTCTTGGGGCTGTTGATCAATGAGACGTGGATAGCTCAAATGAAAACATTACCATGTAAAACATAAGATGGGTTAAAACAGATTCAGAATCTCATTCTTTTTTTCATACTTATTGCCCGTGGGAATAGTAATGTTGTATATTGGGTTAAATTATGTATGCGTGTATGTATGTATGTATGTATATATATATATATATATATAATTTGTTTTTTAATTCTAATATGGTTATTATGTATTTACCCCCATGTAGATAGATAGATAGATAGACAGTCAGAAAGACAGACAGTGCTGGTTTAAACCCTGGAGAGGCATTGTACATAGAGGGAAAAGTCTACTAAGCCAAGAAAATATGGCAAAGTATAAATACATGATTGCCATTAGGTTCTAGAATTTTGTTTAAAGGTTTTATGCAATTTAAGGAAACCTTAAAAAATTTATTGTAAAGATACTGTACAGAGGGGTTACAGTTACATGAGTAAGGTAATAAGTACATTTCCTATGGAGCATTGTTACCCCCTCCTTAGTTTTTCCCCTACTATCCCTTCCCTCCCCACCTCCCTTAAGGAAACTTTTGTGGATATGTAGTTGGAGTAAGTTTCCTGCAGCCTTTGAGGTTTTGTTGCAAGCTTGAGTTCAAGGCTAGTTTACTTACTTTTCCCAGGTGGGCCTAGAGCCTTGATCCTTCCAGTCCCATCTTTCCATGAAGTTTAGATTACAAGCTTGAGCTACTGGCACCCTGCTATGAGTTGAAAAGAAGTTTGACAAACTTTTCTGCTCATGATGGTCTGAAACTCCAATCCTCCCATTCTTCCAAGTAGCTGTCTTTATAGGATATAATCACCGGCGCCCTGCTCTAATAGGTTTTTTTTTCAATTTTATTTTCAAGCAATTCTATTGCTTTGTAAAGCAATAAAAGGGCTGATCATTTTCATTGGTAGCAACTATCCAACCTTGATAGCTTTTTTTTTTTGGGGGGGGGTCCAGTCGTGGGGCCTGAACTCTGGGCCTGGGCGCTGTCCCTCAGCTCTTCAGCTCAAGGCTAGCTCTCTACCCCTTGAGCCACAGCGCCACTTCCAGCTTTTTTCTTTTTGCTTATGTGGTGCTGAGGAACCGAACCCAGGACCTCATGCAGGCAAGGCAAGTGCTCTACCATTGAGCCACCTTCCCAGCCCCCCAAACTTTATAGCTTTAAAAAGTGTTAGGAGCCCACATGAAGTCAAATTTAGTGAACTGATTTGACTACTATATTCTGGCCAGTGACAGTTAGTTACACTGTCAGTGACAGCGAGAACTTTTCATTTTGCCTTTTTAAGTCATATTTGAACATATAAAACTGTGAGATCAAAATGAGAATGAGCCATGAGTGTTCCTTGTCTCAGAGAAGTTGTCAGAATAAGAGCTTTAGTATGGATGACAGAAGGGAATGGGCCCAATTGTATTACTAGATTGTTATTTCCTCATTCTCATAGATGCTCGTGGCCAACATTGACTTGGGTCCTACAATTTTGGACATTGCTGGCTATGACCTGAATAAGACGCATATGGATGGAATGTCCTTCTTGCCCATTTTGGTGAGTACAAGGCCCTCAGTCAACACTGAACTGAAATTGAATAAATTCTAGGAATGTGAAGACTTAAATCTTAAAGCTATTCAACAGGGGGACAGAGAACAGAATTCTTCTCTGATCTTGTGGTAGAAAGAGTTTTCTAGAGGAAAAAGACTGACTGGACCATGTGTAAACTTCAGCATTGGGTATTCTCCCACTGTGCCCAGTCTGTGTGCTATTAGTTATAGAGCCTAATATTCAGGGCCTCGTCCTGGGTGGGTCCCAATCCACCTTACCACCTTGACTGCATACGAAAGCTAAGTTTCACAAGGCTAAGATATTCATGTGCTTTTGATCCAGAAGCTTGGTCTTGTTCTAGATTCTTCCTCTTTTTCACCATCTGTATTCCTATCTTAAAGTGTTGCATTTCAAATGCTGCCTCCTCTTTCCTTCCATACTACGAATGTGCACAGTACCCTCCTTCTGAGCCCCCAGGAACCTGGCACAGTGCCTCGTGTGCAGCTCCAGTCTGTTTCGTTTTGTTTCTGTCCTGTCTGTTAGGTAGTTTAGAACAGTTCTTAGAGATTATAAGTGGTTTTAAAAAGCACAGTCTAATCTGGACTTCAAACAACTTGCACCCAGTAACTGATTCCTGTTGAGTTACTTTGTTGGTTTCTGTTTCCTGGCTAGCTTCACAGAAGTTGTCTTGGGAATGAACTATTAAATGTTCAAAGCTTTCGCCCATCACTTGAAAAGCTGTAAATATCAAACCTGATACTCAGTAGCTTTCATATGCATCAGCCATTCTCTTGAGCCAGTTCCTTTTATCCCCAAGCCCCTTTATCAGTTTCTTAGAAACTTTGTCATCTTTTTTTTTTTTTTTTTTGGGTCCGGTCGGTCGTGGGGCCTGAACTCTGGGCCTGGGTGCTGTCCCTCAGCTCTTCAGCTCAA